CGAATCCCGCTAAGTGTTCTTTTTTGCTGTTGTGGTTTGCATTCTTCGGAACTTCTGCAGTACCTCATTTAGGAACTTCTGCAGCACTTTTATGCAACTTCCGCAGATGACTCGGCCGAACTTCTCCAAACGTTCGGCGGAAGTGAAAGCTATTATCGGTCTCAAAATAACAGCGGAAACTGTGCCTTCAAGATACTAAATTATTTTTCTTTCGTTCTAGTAAAAGTTTTTTCATGGCAACGTAGTTTTTTTCGGAAAATTTCTATTGATGCTCCAGAGCTGATTACTGTGCTTAGTAACTCAAGGAGAAAATTTTCGTTTATAACAAACTAGAGTTCAATTCTATCGCAACAATTTTTGTAAACTTTATGCAAAGTTTTAGATACGAATGAGCAAATAACGTCTCACGGTTTAGCTGCCGTATCCATACTTCACGAGATTTCAGTGGCCACGCGATTTTATGGTACTTCAATTGTCCATAACTCATCGTAAGCGCATTCTAAATGTACAGAAAATAAAGCATTTTATCAGTCTACGAAAGGTATATATGCTATGCATTTGTAGTCTGCCAGTGAAAAATTTGAAGTTACTTGGCAAATTGCCATGTCGCGTGGCGACTAAAATCGCTTGAAGTATGCCCCCGGCCCAAGACTACGGTACTGTTATAACAGACGATTCTTTCTTCAAGCTCCGTATGAGTTTTCCAAAAGAAAACATGCTTTTAAGAAAATCGATGCGAGTGAAGTTTTCTTATTTATAGGTGTCAGAGGTGCAACATTTACTCGGCATATGACTCCGGAACCCAGTTGGAAACTTTGTTGACATAGCAAGACTTCTTTAACCTTGAACGAGGGCTAGCAGATATTAAGTTTCACAGAGAGAGAGAGAGAGAGAAAGAGAGAGAGAGAAATTGAAATTTATGTTTATTTTGAGTTGTGCTATGATTTCGACAAGGTAATCACCACCCGGACTGCTGCCTGTCATCTTTTCGGGATTTTGTACTAAAAAGGTCAGAGAGAGGTGGAAAAAGCAAAGAGAGATACAGGGTCTAATAAACATAAATAATTCTCTGAAACACTTCCAGGAAGTCGTTCAAATGCAGTCAACTGGCTATCACTGAATCTAAGCGAAAGTGCAGAAACACATTGCCATGTATCGTTGTTCTAAACCAGGAACTTCCGCATACATTTTTTGTCGTCTAATGCTCTCATCCCTCACTGACTGGGAAATAAGCCGGCTCCTCAGAGATTACTTGAAGTAGGCGGAGTTAGTAGATTTATAAAACTGCTGTAAATTACATGAAGTAGGCGGAGTTAGTAGATTTGCAAAACTGCTGTATCTAATATATAAAGAACCGTTAACTCATTTTAAAAACCTAATATATAAACAGCCATTAACTCATTTCAAAAATCTAATATATAAAGGATCGTTAACTCCTTTCAAAAATCTGCAAATAGCGGGAAACCGCGTGGCGGTCCCGAAGCGAATGCTCTTCCAAATCGCACCTTTAGATTAGTGGTTCACAAGTTTTGAAGTAAAAACCAAAAAGTCCAGCGCAGGTAAGAAGCAACTTCTTTCCGAGACAGATACAACTTGCTTTGATATCCGATAACTCCAAGTTAGTTTTTTAAAGGTGATAAACGGAGAAGAAGGAGAGACGGAAGAGAAAAAGGGAAAAGAGAAGAGGAAGGAGCGAAATGGGAGGGGGGGGGGGGCAATGAAGTATTATGAAGCCGATAGCAGAAGGATGACACATAAATCAATAGTTTCCTATTCTGACATCTATATATGAAGAATCGCTAGGTGCAAAAAAGGTGAGATTGCGGGAAACCGTGGCGGCTCCCGCAGCGAACACACCTGCAAATCTAATACCTTTGAAAATGAATGTGTCATTAGACGTGAATCAATATCTTCTATTCTGGGCATTTTTCTTCTTCTCTAGTATTCTCGAAATAATTGAATATTCCTAAAATACAAGAACTTAGTAAAACAAATGATTACATTCTAGACATTTTTTAGGATATATGTTAATCCTTTAGAAAAAGTGACTACTGTAAGCCTCAACGGACATCTTAATGGCTCTTTCATAATATTAATAGTAACTAATCTTTACGCTTGAATTGAGAACATCAAATCCGCAAGGAAGAGAATCTTTGAAGTTCAATCTTTACCGGCTAATTGATACAGATCACAAATGACTTGACTCCTCATATAAATTGAATTTCTGGGTGCATAAGGTTCATTAAAAGGATATAAAACAATGAAAGCAATTCATTAAATGTCTTTGGTCGATAATCCATTGCCCTAATGACAATTATTCAAAAACCAAAGTGTTTTCGTGAAAAAAACCGAGTGCAGAATAAATCAGTCAGTCTGAGACAAACTCTTCGGTTGTCAATTTGCCACGCATAAACTAGTTCCGCTTTCCTTAATCATACCCTTTATAGCATTTAATAGGATGCGGAAGGAAATCAAACAAGTCCGAAAGTAAAAGAACTACCATAGGTTGCTTTCAGCGTAAGTCTATAAGAAAGCCAAAAAACTTCCCGAAATATCGATTTCGCGTCCTAGTGCACTTATGGAAATTGCTTCATTATTGTTCCGCGTTAATTGATTTCGGAGAGACATGAGACTTTTACAGGAAGAGCATAGGAAGTAAAGCAATCTTTAGTAACATGTAATTAGTCACAGACTATTGATAGCATTACAGTGAGTTGTCCAGCAAAAATTACTTGAAAATATGCGACAATAAATATTCTGAAAAAGGAGTTTGTTTTAAGATTTGTTCTTACTCTCATGTTCTCAAAAAAGCGAATTTTTACGGTAGAAATGATTGTTCAAACAAAGTGAATTGATTTTTTATTCATTGCCATCCTAATTCCTATAGGAACTCATTCTCACATTTCCCTACTCGAAAATTTTCAAGAAAAAAATTCCATTCATATCCTGAATCCCTAGTCCATCAATTCAATGATATACATGTTGTGTAATGTGATAGATACCACTTTGAAAAATGTAAATTTCTGTGTTTCTGTAAATTTCTAGTTTTGTCGCAGTAAATATGTCGGGGAGGGGGAGGGAAGAGAGGGGAAGTTGTAAAAAAATTACATTGACCACGGGGAATCAAAAAGCATTATGATAGTCTAATTGAACAGCACAATAACAGAATTATATGTGAAAGAGCTGTTGAAACTGATCACTTTATTCCTCATTATTCCTTTTCATTAATCCTCAAACGTTATTTCCTCTCCAAAATCACTCGACAATCAGGGCTCGGCACGAGGTGGCTAGATGAAAATGCAAAAAACGAAGTCCTCACTGACTTGTGGGTTTTTTTACGAAGTCCCCTTTGACCCTATACCATATTCCCTAAAAATTTTCCAAAAAACCAAACGTCGACTAAAAAAAACTCCGCCAATTTTGCGTGTCTTCGTCCACAAAAACGAAACCCCCTTTGTTTTTTGTCCCAAAAACGGTATCCAGCTTGCTTGTAAGCCACCTGTGCCGAGCCCTGTCGACAATTGCTTGAAAACTCTATTCTCGAGAGGAACACTATCCTAATATAAAAACGCATCCTTTAGACTATTAGGGGTTCATTTTTGTTAAATCAATCGATGAATGTGTCAGGAAATTCTCTCGCCTCCTTTTCTCTATCTAGTTTAAAAGGTCCTATACTTTTTGGGTTTTCCAAAGAATTCAAAGGACACCAAAGAAAAGTTCTAAAGAGCTCCGCGCACTCCAAGAAGTATGTTTTCTCATTTTTTTCTCTATTTCTTTTTTGTGCACAATTTTAACGTTTGAACATTGAAAGTGGCGCCTTAGGTGACGCAAGTGTGGTTGCGTGATTCTCGGACTTGCATCATCAAAGCTCTATTTTTGTCTTTTTCATAAATATACCTATAGCCCCATTTTTCGCATTTTTCACCTCTTCCACAATCAATTTATGCTTCTTCGATGTACCCGTGACACGAAAATCAAAGAAAATCAGCTGATCATCAGGGCGGCGGGAGACGGGGAAGGGGGGGGAGTAGGGGGTGGGAGGGAAGGAAGGGGGGAGGGGAGAGAGAATGGAGGAAAAAGGAAAAAACCCTTTGTTTATTTGTACAAGTCTCGGACCTCACATGTTGTGATTGTTGCAGACATGCTCGATGCCTCACACAAGAACGATGACTATCGATTGATTTATTTTCCCTATATTCCCTTTTCCTTAATGATTTTCCCTTGACATACCCTCAAGAATTGGACATTTATTGTTATGTTCGAGCGCATGTGATTCGAAAAAGTTTGCTGGGTACATACCTGCCCTGGGAAAATTGATTATGTAATTTCGACTGACTCCATTGATTTCGCTTCTGGGGCAAGGTAAACCAAACTGAATTTTGATTTTAAGAAGATTGCCAGAAAATCCCATTTCAGCTAGGACTATAAGATTTTACCAGTCTGGGGAAAATCCCGTTTCACCCCTGGACAATTTTGTCAGCTACGATATGTTTGTTTTCATAGCAATTACGTATACGTTGAACGGGAGTGACTGTTCGTTCACGGCACCCAGCTGATGTCAGCATCTTTACCCAGGTAAATTCGGGCGGGGGGGGGGGGGGGAGAAAGAAGTGAAACTGCCACGTCATCTGGTCCCATAATCTCCAGAAAGGCTGGAACCTTGATAGAGTGTGGTGAAGACTGTAGTCGTGACAACTGTATCGATCGATTTTGGCACCTTTACTGTAATTATGTCCCTTTAATGAGCGGTTGTCCCTTTAAATTAGTAAACTCTTCCAATTCACACGACCTGTGCGATCTCAAAGAGCGTCTAGCAAACGACACACTCATACACACACACATAGACACACGCAGCGGCCGTGTGATGACAATAGGCCCAATGGTTATAGAAATCGTGCTATTTAGACAATTTGGCTCGGCGCCAAGAATTGGGTACGATCAGTTGATTAGGTTCAGTTGCCCATTTTGACCACTGCACCCCCTATTCTCCTTCTAGATCTCTTCGAATACGGTCTCTCCTCTACAACGCCCCGTGCCAGTAGGCCTCCCCTCTCTCAGCTGCTTCTGCGTCTCTAACCCCTCTCCCCCTGGTGCCGGGGTGCCCTCGTATCTCTGCGCTCTTACCGCTCGAAGGGGTATAGAGAGCAACTAATTTTGCAATTCATCGTCACCATTCTCCAGAAGTTCTTCGCAACGCCTGCTTCACGCTCGACTCTACACTCCTTTAAAGGTACGTTGGTGTTACTTTATAGGGCCAGAGGGCTAATGAAAAGGGGGTGGAGCGTTCGTACATAGTCTATCGATTTATGTGAAGGATGTAAGTTTTTCGAGGAAATTCGGGGTAATTCTATAGATTTCAGAGAAAGCGAGTTTCTCTTAGGCCTATAGAGGCCTATTAAGTTCCAAAGCATCAATTCCCCACTTTCTCCTGGACTATATGGGTTGAGTTCCCCATATGGGATCCTTTGGGAGTAAAGGACACTTTGTAGCGGTTGTGAAACGGGAACTTCATAGTAATTCATTGAAATCACCATTTTCAGACTTTTCACTTTTTTAGAGCAAGAAAATCCTGTTTCAATTTCCATACAAGTTCATTTGCCGGTGGAAAGAAAGTTGCCACCGTGGTGATTATCTAGGGTTCTTGAACGACAGAAAAGAAAAGTAAATATTGCAAAAACTAAAAAGTCATTTGATAAGTAAACATTTTCTGATTTTATCTAAAATAGGTCGTAGGAATCAGAATTCGAGGATTTTTGGAAGTTTCACATAAATCCTACTTTCCTATAGTTTTCCAGCTTAAATCTATAGAAAATCACGAAAAATGAGAAATTCTTTGAAAAAATCGATAACACGCACACCTTTTCGACTTTGGAGGACTCTTACCCCAAGACCTTTGTAGAACACATCTCGTCTGGAGGCAGACTAAAAAAGGCTTAGATTCTCGTTTATCAATAGTTTAACCCACAAATCGTAACGAATTCTGGAAAATGCAGGTTTCTGAGCGTGCCGGGTTTTTACGGGGGCATGTGACTTTAAGGTACCGCTTTTAGGCAAGTATGAATCATGTTTCCCCCCAAAGTTCTCCAATACCTTCTCTAGTGCCAATTTTATCAATATTTGAAGCTTATGTCACTTCCGTTTCCCTTACCCCCTTCCCCACTCCCCACCCTCTCTCCCTCGCAGCTCGCTAAAAAAAGACAAAGCCACGAGGAAGTGCATTTTCAAAAAAATATAATATAAGCATGAATGCTTTGGGGATTAGCTCTGGCAGATTAACAGCATCTGTTTACAATCTTTCAATCTCTTCTTTAGTTCTATCTATTTGGCTTTTCTGATAATTCATAATAAAATTTCAATAGGTTCATTAAAGCTCTCAATAAAGAAATTTTAGCTGTTGTGTATCTAACGCAATAATTAATTAGCCAACAATAAAGTGTTTGATGAAAGTAAATCTATTCAACTCAAATTAAATCCGTACAAATTTGACTATGCGACTTCCAAATTACTGTGAAAAGAATATAAAATATATGATACAGTAATATTTATAAAAGGTTCCGAAATGTACTTAAATGTTAAGAATAGATCAAGGAGATCAAGGAGGATCTGTAAAAGGGCAGAAGTATTTATCTTTTCTCATTTTGTGTAGATGTTCACTCTTTTCAGATAATACTTCAAAAACCCTAGGTTAATAATTCCTGAAACAATTTTTCCTAGCGGCTGAAGTGACAAGAAAATCTTTTTAGTCGCTTTAATGGGAAATTTCTTGAAAATTCTGTGTCTTTTACTATAAAAAAAAACACCAGGGAGGTCAGACTTATCGATCTTCTGGAGGAAATTGTTTCCTTTATGGAACCAAATATTGGGACGGTTATACTTCATAAAAATCTCCCTCTCCTCCCCCTGCAAAAATTTTGTATTTTCCACTATCAAAAAAACTTCAAGGAAGTCATGTGTCTTATCGATTTGAAGAAAATATTTGTTGTACGAAACCAAATATTGGGGTGCTATACTTCATAAAAAACTCTTCTTCTCCCCTGCAATCATTTCTTCAAACTTCACTTATTATCTCTTTGCCAAAATGTTTAGGAACTTCATAGGGTATTTCTGTAGGGAAAATCAAGGTCTACAAAATTTGGTTAAAAGCCTATGAGCGTATGTAATTTTTAGGATAGTTTAGAATAAATAATAAATTGCATAGATTTTGCAGAAAAATTTAAAATTCGTGGAGCTCAAAGGAACAAAATCTGACGAAAATTCCTTTCGGTGGAGCTTTCGGAGCTTTAGCCCTACACTGCAGTTTTTTCCCAGTTTTTCTTTCCCTTCTGTCCTTCCTCTGGTTCCCTGTCTCTAGCCTGCCTGGACAACAGAACCTATACTATTGTGGATCACAACATCTTAACTTCTTAGCCTTCCAGAACCTCGTGAGAGGGGAGGGGAGGGTAGGGGCAGTGCAAAGCAGCAGCAGACCAAGAGTGCAACGCACAAATCGTTTGTCTCTCTCTTCAGCTGGCGTTCACTCTGCGTCGGTGCGAAGGTTTCTTCAAGGGGGCGGGGCCCTCCAGGCTCTGCTAAGAGTATTTCCTTGTGCACTTTGGGGGGCTTAGGGGGCTCTATAGGACTTTGCCAAAGTGTTGCGCGGGTCGCGCAGCCCTCTGGGGTCAAAAATCTCTTCTCCTGTTCATTTAACGCCATCCCGACATCACAAAGAGCGTAGAGTCACAGCCAGTTCGTTCCCAGCCACACACACATACACACACAGCCAGCCAGCCAGCCAAGCAGCCCACAGCCTTCCCCCCCCCCCCCGCCCCGCTCTCCCCCCGTGCATTCGTCGCGTATCGATCCCGCGCTCTCCACATTTCCAGCGGTCTCTCGGCGACCGTCTCGCCTCTTCACAGACACAACCCATATGAATCAAACAGTTCCCTATGTCGGCACATAGCTGAATGCCTCTGTGCTTTTTCCGAAGTTCTACGCTAGTTTTTTTTTCGCAGCCACAGTAGCCCTATAGCACCGCTACCGTAACCCTGGGGGTTGCGGGAACCTTATAGAGAAACTGCAAGTAGTGCCACCACCTACCACTCTCTGGACTCGTTAAGGATTGCCCTCGAACGGGAACGAGACAGCTTGTCTCTTTGCCTTCTTCCCGCATTATGAGGCGTTGCTTTTAGGAAGCTACATAGTTCCTTGTAACCCTAAGTACTTCCTTACCCTATTCGAGTAACCTTGAAGTTGTTCCTCTACCCTTAGGGTACTCTCTGAACTGAAGGTCCTTTACTCCTAGACTATAGAACTTCTTTAGTATTTCCAGCTACTATGTTCCTCTCTACAGCCTGCAATCTCTCCTTCTCATCCAGAATATCAAAAACTTCCTATTTTTGTTATAGATCTTCCAATCGATAACCTCTCAATAACCGATCAATACCTCACAATGGCGCGCTAACAACTCAATTTTTTGCAAACCTCTTAGCCTTTTCCATAACAAGCACTCCATAGTCTCCAAGGAGACTTATCGATTGAAGACTGATTTTTCGCCTATCAATCAATACTCTTCAAAGATTGTTTACATCACGATAAAGTAAAGAGTGAAAAGTCAATTCTCTGAAACTAGTCACTTTCGTTTAGGTGTAAAAGCAGTCTACCAAACCTACGCCAATTACCCATAGTTTCACTAAATATCGATCAATATCTGCAAAAAATCGATATGTATGTTCATCGTTCAGATTATTAACACTCTCTAGGGGTTGTTGGAAATAATGCACGTCCAAGATTCCACGTTGGAACTACATGCTAATATCGTAAAAAGTGTTTCTATGGCACAAAAACTATTTGAATGGTGTCGCGAGAGGGATTGGGAGGGGGGGGGGGGGAGGGGGAAGAGGGCGGAGCGAAGAGGGGCGTGGGGGAGGGGAGGGGGGCATAGGTACTATGGGACCCTAGAACTATTTTCATGAGTTAATGACCAATCGATAACGCATAATTCTGCAAAAAGTTTAAAGGGCTGGTTCTATTGTTCACGCGCTAATCGATATATTGACACGTCAGGAGCGCGACGCGACCGCACATCGACTGCCATTGCGGACGTGCAGAATTGTCATTGGCTCTTATTCTAATTACGTTAAATATCTGTGTATGTTGGTACCGCATAAATTAGATGATATGCAAATTATGCAAAAACTACATACGGTCAAAAACATCGGGAATCATCAGTGCTAAAAAATCAATATCAACAAATTAACGAAATGAATGAGCAGAGCAAGGTGCAGAAAATTAAGTTTCTTATTACTGAGATTCTCCATCGGAATAGAAATTTTGTTCGCTTTTTATCTCGTCTCTCTCTCGTCTCTCTCTCTCTCTCTCTCTCTCTCTCTCTCTCTCTCTCTTTCAAAGGTCTTTCCAAGAAGGCGCGCGTGCGGATGCATCGCGGTAGCCATGGACTCTAGGACTTCGCAAAAAAATCATATGGAAGCTCAACAAAGAAGCACTTTTCTACATCTATGAAGCAAACCGACTTCCTCTCAAAAAAATTTTATGGGGGATTTAATTGATTCAACTAGCAAAAAACCATGCCCCATTTTGCGGAGTGTATCTCCCATATGCTTGGGTATCGCCTCTCGCAAAAGACTTTCGAGATTTTTCGGCCAATTTATGTGCAGTTATGCGTATGCTGTCTTGATTTTAACGCCAACTTTTTCCACCGGCCGTTAATCATATCGACGCTTGCGGCCTGTGTCTTGTCGTTTGCCAGCAATAATTTGATGGTGACAAAGAGCATTTTGTGGATTTACACAAAAAGCCATTTTTGCACTAAGAACTCTAGTTTTGAAAATCTCACGTACATCCATATCGATTGATTTGGGAGTACGGTAGTATGGTAACTACTACGGTCGATAGGGTTGTAAGTATCCTTTTCCTACTTCCGCTAAAGTAACTTAAAAGGTGTTCTTAATAACAAATTTTTGAGAATCTCACGGTCCATCTTGGTTATTCCGGGGGCGGTAGATTACGGTAGCGTTACGGTATTTATGAGGATCGATGGATAATCGACCGTATTCTTTCTTTTGAATCCCCCCTAGCACTTATCCTCTGTCTCCAAGGCTGTTTTGAGACTACGGTAGATTACGATAATGTTACTGTGCCTACAAATTGGTCGATGACTGATTCGCAAGTACTCATTTCTCTGTACTCGTGTAACTTCAAGTCTACTCTGATCTTTCTCCTTTCACGTAACCC